TCCCATAAATATGTACAATTATTATGTATCAATTAAAAATAATAAATAAGTTTCCTTTATTAAAGTGTATTAGTTTGAATGATTCATTCTCTAAAGATTAAGGTTATTTCATTGCATTGACTAATGTTAAAATGTATTTTTTTAAGAACTAACTGGTTTTGAACAGAGCATATATAAATGTACAAGGATACTTCAAAAAGTTTATAGGAAGATTAGTATTACCTTTTAATGCTATTTTTCCACTAAGTGGTTTTTTTTTTTGTGACCGGTAAGGGGATCGTAACCCTTGGCTTGGTGTCGCCTGCCCTGTGCTCAGCCAGTGAGCGCACCGGCCATCCCTATATAGGATCCGAACCCATGGCAGGAGCGCCGCTGCGCTCCCAGCACTGCACTCTCCTGAGTGAGCCACGGGGCCAGCCCTCCACTAAGTTTTTGAAGTACCCTCCTAAATGTAGTGAAGTCCAAAACAAGAGACCGTGAAATGCATACATTAATATATCTAAAAAGGCTAAAAGAATCTTGCCATTGTACATCCTTGCGGTAAATGTGTGTCAGAGAGATGAGCAAAGTAGAAAATGCAAATATCATGTAAAAACAGCTTTAATCTATGAATTGAAGATGTATGTTAGCACATCAAAGCTTTGGTGATAGTGGGTAGTGTAGAGATAAAGTATTTGTTCTTTACAATACTATTTGTGGGAAAAGTTTCAACCTGGTCTTTTGAGGGTAATTAAAAAAGTTGTGGAAAACAATCAAAGCTTTGGTGATAGTGGGTAGTGTAGAGATAAAGTATTTGTTCTTTACAACACTATTTGTGGGAAAAGTTTCAACCTGGTCTTTTGAGGGTAATTAAAAAAGTTGTGGAAAACATAATTAAAAGTTAACACATGTCCTTCCATGAACTTTTTTGAAGTACCCTTGTAATTGAGGTTGGAAACAACTCCCAAGAAAGCCCATGGGCCTCTCCTTGCACTCTAACAGCTCTCTCAGGCTTCCCAGGTGACCCTGGGGCTTGGCCCCATCAGCGAGGGCAATATTAGACAAGTGATCAATCAGCCCTATAAGAAACTGTCCTGGAACCCAGACTCCATGTTCGGGTGGCACATGGAGGAGGCAGAAACTCAGCCAGTGACATTCTGAGATGAGCATAGGCCTGCACTGTTTCCAAATATCTCCCTGCCCCTCAGTCACCACCAACCTCAGAGGCCTTTTCCAAATAAACGAGATGTCTGAAATTACCATCATTCAGACTGCTCCTCTGGGTTAAAGAATCATCTCTCCAGACAGCTCCTGATAAAATGACTTTCTGATTTAATCAAGGAGGGGTAACCCATACACATATTAGTGTCTATTCATGGAAGCAAACTTTTTGGTCAAAAGAGCTACTGGTCACCCAGCAGACAGACAGAGACAGAGTGTGAGCTCTGAAGGAAAGGAGGTAGAGAGGCCCTGGAAAGGCTGAGTGTGTGGGGTGCTATCTGGAGGCAGGAGGTATGCAGCATTGTAGGGTGGCCCCAGGGAGCTACAAGTCAGGAGGAAGTCAGAGGGGTGCCTGAAAAGGGGTAACTTTGAGAAAAAGAGGAAAAGTGGTCATCAAAGTGCCCAGTGGGTGAGGCCACAGTGAAAACTGGCATTCCTATCCACAGTTCTCCCCAGTGCGGGGTAGGAACTGACCCAGTGAGACCTGAGTAAGACTAGAATGGCCAGTTCACAGATGCCCAAGACCCCATATCAGTCTGGGTTCTAGCAAGGAACAGAAGGTACATTCAAATTGGGATAACTGGAAGAAAGTTTAATTAAGAAACTGTTTATAAAGCTGTGGCCTCGGTGTAGGGCAACTACAAAGAACAGTATAGGACAGGAGCTAGTAACAGTGGCACTCCATGACCAGGTCTGAAGGTGTGAGGGGAAGGGAGCAGCTCCCGGGATGCAGAGAATAAGAGGGCCACTGCCAAACAGATCAGGGAGGGCACTGGGCTCCCCCATGTCCCTCTTCTCCCACCCTCTGACTCCTGCCAATGCTCCAATTGGCCAAACCCAACTGGAGACCAGAAAGAAGCGAGTCCACTGGGGCAGCCCATATAGTTCAGACCCTGGGACACACAGCCAGCTGGAGAAGGTGCTGCGTGGAACTGGAGGTGCAAACCCAAGATATCCTGCCCCATGCCCCAGGGCAAACTGGAACAAACTTTGCTATTTTACTCTTAGGCTGGTGGCAGATTTCACTTTCCAAATTCAAGCAATAAAAGCTGGAAATGGCACACCCTGTTCTCAGGAAACAATAAGGCTCCTTTGAAAAACTTGTATTCAAATCCTAAAATCAAAACATCTCTGCTCACTCGCTCTCTTCTCTGAGGTCCTCCTATCCACAGAGGGGTGGAGAAGTCCTGCCAAGCACAGAGAAATTATTGCCTCTAACAGGGGAGGGAAAGGACTAAGTGGTCCTGCCAGCGGGCAATAGTGTCTATTTTAATTTTCCCCTCTTCATTTCCAATTAGTGTATTTTGTTTGCAAAAGGTAATAAAAGGATAAGAGGCTGGGTGGAGGGTCGGTTTCTCAGTTTTCTCCTCCTTCTAGAAAAAAACATAACTCCCACATCCACGGCAGCCCGCTTGTACTTTGAATTATCTTCATCTTTTCATGAAAGCAGTGGTTTGCATTCTTTCACTGAACAGCCTTTTCTCGGAATTTGCCAATTCTGATTGCCAATGCAGTGCCTCTTTCTTTAGGGTGGCCGCCTTCTGTTTTATGCATGTAACTGCTTCCTTTCCTTTCTGGCTTCTCCCCATATGTTTTTAAGTTCACCACAGTACTTTGGGCTTTCTAAAAAGGATACTGCAAGCAAACACGAGCAAGCAAACAAGCACCACAAAGGGAAATGTATTTGCAAGGTGCTCTGGGCATGCGGATACCAAATCCATGTGTACACTGTCTCTGCAGTCCACGTCCACCCGGCCGCTGTTCAACAACAGCTTCAGCAGTGCCAGATTTCCTCTCCTTGCAGCCCAGAAGGCAGCGTTGGCAAGTGGAGTTTCCTTCTGTGAGAGCAAAATGAAACAGGATCTTAAAATCGACATTAATCAACATGACTGCTTCTACGCAAACAGATAATAACATTCAAAAGGGAGAATTTCCAGATGTGTCTATCAATTGAAAAATTGCTCCCCCAGCAATAGATGCTTCTAGTATGCTTGGCTATGGAATGTACTCTGGCACCACATGCTGGAGCTGCAGTGTGGTTATGAGTAGCAATGTTGATAATACAGCACTGTTAATACCCCATTTCCCACCAATGTGCTCACTTTCCTGCCTCCCTTGTGTCTTTGTTCACACAGTTTCCTTTTTTGCTTGGAAAGGATTTTCCCCTATCCTTCAAGACCAAGACTGTGCTCAAATGCTATTTCCTCCCTGAAACATTCCAAGTTTCTACTTCACCTCTAAGTAGAGCAAAATTTCTCCCATTCTGACCTCCCAAAGGAGTTAACCTGCCCTTTTCCTTTGCCCTCAACTCCTTCTACCTGATTCCAGCTATCTAGGTAAATGCCTCACTCTCCTACCATCTAATTTTCTTTGCTTCATCAGGAACTTGGAAGAGGCTTGGGTTGAGAATAAGGAACCTTGGGCAGAGAATGCTATTACACGTCTTTGTACGGCTCTTTCACTCCACTACTATTTTAGAGCTGCACGGTTAATGTTGGAACCGTACCTATGGAAGACATAGAACTAGAAAACAGGTCTTCAAAAAGAGGCAGAGCTGACGGCAGCACACTTTCCTTCTCCAAAACAAATCAATTTGGATCTGTAGAGAACACTCTGTGGGAGGGACCAGACAGCTCTGGGTTTCAACCCAGCCTTGGGCAAGTAACTTGGCTCTTGGGAGTCTCAGTTTCTTCTTTTTTTTTTTTAGTAGTATTGCTTTTTTTTTTTTTTTTTTTTGTTTTTTTTTTTTTTTTTTTTTGAATTTTGAATTTTATTTTTTCATTATACATGTTTACAGGATACTCAATACATGCATATATTGTATAATGATCTAATCAGAACTGTTAGTATATCTACCACCTAAACATTTATCGTTTGTTTGTGTTTATAACATTCAAGATACTCTTTTCTGGATATCTTTTCTGTTTCCTCTTGCTTAGATGGAGATCACAGTACCTGCCTTGAAGTTTATGGTAAGGATTAAATGAGGTACATTAATTGTCTCTTATGGTTTTCAATACATCATAAATGCTGACAAGTGCTATTTCTTTCTCTCTATCTTTACAAAGTTAGAATCAATAAGCAAAATTAAATTCGGAGTATTGATACTAATAAAAAATTTTGCTGGTCTCAGGAAATTTCACAGTATTCACATGGTTTAATAAAAGCACTTTTTTTGGTAGGTTTAAAATGCCTATCTGACCCAAAAGGCCTTTTATGCAATATGTCTACTAAATATGTTGATATTGTACCAAATACAATACTTTGTTAAATTAAAAAGAAAATACCAACAATTTTAGCTACTCAGTGGAGCCATCTAAAAGGAAAGTACAGTGACAGCAGAGTAATGACAACATTTATTGGTGTAAAGACTTCATTTCCAAAGTCCTTCAGCACACATACAAGCTAATGCTCTTGTGCATACTTGGATGAAAGAATGGCAACGCAGAGAGGGGTAAGCAGGTAGCAAACGTGCTTGGAATAGTTTCCTGGCTCACCTAGGAGGGGAAAAAAAATCACCTGAAGTTCCAGATGAAAACTTTCCCTTCCCTGAAGGTGTAAATTTTACTGTTCCGGAGTTTTCAAGCCAACTGCACCCATGTTGCCCACACCCAGCGTTGGCTGCCATTGCACCAGGCTGGGTCTCACTGGCTATAGTTTTTAGTAACTGGATGAAGCAGTGGCAAGGCAGGTTCACCCTGGATAATAAACATAGAACAATGCCCTTTTAATAAGGAGATGGCCCAAGGCCAAAATGAAGTCTGGGGGAGCAAATTAGGAAGTAAATTCAGTATGCACCACAGAACAGGTCTGCCGGCTTTTCCTGAAACGTGAACACACTAGAGTGATGTACTGTAATTCATTTTCAGTGACTTTGTTGTTTCACTTTAACCCCAAATACCTTCAAAAATCCATCTGCAAACAGCAAATGTCTATTGTCATAACAAGCTCTCCAGCCAGGGTCTCTCCTCCCTTTAGGATGGTCTTGGGGACTCCTGTCCTTCTGGGCTAAACATCCTGGTTTCCTATAAGGTTCTAGAAACTGAGCTTTGAGAAAAGCTGTAAATATTTCTCTTTCCCTCAAGGGCTTGATTTACTGAGAGTTGGAGGCATGACAGAGTAGTTGATTTGGGGTAAGAAAGAGCTGGATCCAAGACCAAACCACTTACCAGCTCTGTGACCCTGGGCAAGTTATTTGACTTCTCTTAGCCCCAGTAAAATGGCATAATAATGATATGGTACCTCTGTTATGTGTTGTTAGAAGATTAAATGAGAAAATACACATAAATGCACTTAGATAGCACATACTCAAGAAATGGTAGCTATAAATGCTCTTTAAAATACTTGCTCAGGTGAATTCATTTACTTGGTCACTAGCATGTGCTAGGGACAGGGCCCTGGCCAGGGGCTAGGACTAGATGTATGAGTCTACTTTGGTCTCTGCCCACAATGACTTTTTTATTTTTTAATTAATTATTAATTTTTAATCAAAACATAATTGATTGTACATATCTATTGGGGACAGCATTGACTATCAATACCTGTGTGCAATATGTGATCCTCAAATCATGATAATTACTACATTTATCATTATATAATATAAATCATTTTTTATGGCTCTTTACCAATTTCTTGCTAATTCATTCAACCCCTTCCCCCTCTCCCATCTTTGTTGTCCTCAGCTCTGTTCTCTCCTTTTGAAATTTCAATGAATTTCTGTGATTGTTGTATCTTTCTTCCTTTTTTTTTTTCTTTCTTTTTTTTCCAGCTCCCATTTATGAGTGAGGACACAAGGTATTTTTATTTCTGTGCTTAGCTTATTTTACTTAACATAATTTTCTCTCAGTTCATCCATGTTGCTGTGGATGGCAGAATTACATTCCTTTTTATGGCACGGTAGTATTCCATTCCACATTAGCTTTATGGCCAAAAAGGAAAATAAGGCATGCTGACAGGCATCATAAGTCGGATGGCAGAATTACATTCCTTTTTATGGCACGGTAGTATCCCATTCCACATTAGCTTTATGGCCAAAAAGGAAAATAAGGCATGCTGACAGGCATCATAAGTTATTACAGATGCTAGAGGAGAGATGCAGCTGCTTATGCTGAGAGCACAAACCAGGGAATGGCCAATTCTACTTGAGGAGGGCGGCCTGGAATGGTTTCAAAGAATAGGAGTTCTTGAGATGAGTTGTGACAGATGAGTAAGGACTTGGGTGGACAAGGGGTGCCGAGCATCACAGGCAGAGGGGGTGGTGAAGCAAAGACATGGAGACTTGCCACAGCATCCTGGGAACTGTCACCAGCTTGGCCAGGCTGCAGCATAGGGTGTGAGGGAGAAGGCAAGAGCTGATGAGGACAGGTAGTCAGGGCCAGATCCTGGGGGCTGAGCTGTGCTGTGCTATTGAATTTGCACTTAATCCTGGTGGGCATTGGAGAGTCAAGGAAGTGTTTTAAAGTGGGGAGATACTGTCAGTTTTGCATTTCAGAAAGGTCCCTGTGGAAGCCTAAGAGAGAATGGATTGCAGACTGGAGAAGTGAAGTGAAGTGGAGTGAAGTGTGACCTTGAGTAATTCACTTCTTTGCTTCAGTTTCCTCATCTCAAAAATTAGAATAATAATATTTACCTCATGGGGTTGTTCTCAGAATTAAAGCAGTGAAAACAATTAGTGCACTGCCTGATACTCAGTGGAGTAAAAACCACACTGAGATTGCTGTCTACAAGGGTCAGGTGACTACTGCATACATAGACAGGGCAAAAGATAACAAGGGCCTGAGCTGAGTCAATATCAGTGGGAATAGGAGAATGAGACAGACTGGAGACACTTTTATAGTCTTGGACTGTGATTGTATGTGCAAGACAGCAGGGAAAAGGAGAATAGATTGACTCCAGTTTTCTGGTTCCAGTGCCTGGTTGATCATGGTGCCATTCACAAAAGTCAGAAATACTGTATGAGGAACAGGTTTTGGGAAAAAAAGGATGAGTTCATCAGCTTTGAACATTCTGAGTTTCAAGTGCTAATGGGACACGTAGGTGGAGATGTCCAGCAAAGAAATGTGTACAAGCTCCTATCACACTGTGGCCGACACATTTACTGGTGGTCAGGAATCTTGAGTTAGGTCATTTTAAGTGCTTATACTCTATGCCATGTGGTATACACTGTGCATATTCTAGCTCATTTAATCCCCATCATAGCTGAGTGAAGTGGGTACTGTTACTATCCCATTTTACAGATGAGGTAAGTTAGACATGGCTTCAATACAAGGCAGTCCGTTGCTTGAGGCTGCCCTTTTAACTATCACACTGTTCTGACTCCTGCAGAATTCTTCTCCTGTAGACAGCAAGGAATAAAGCAGTCATGACCCTCAATGGCCTCCTTCCTACCCTCCACTCCAGGATCCTTTCCTGCCAAGATGGAAAGTCCCCAGGCCTTCCTTCTGTTTGGGGTCTACACAAACCCCATCCCCTGGATAACTTGCAAATCTTCTCTGGGTACAATGTGCACATCATCATACATGGTGTGGAGGAGGACAGGGCCAAATGCTTTACACCAACTGCAAAGCACTTTACCAATCATACTATTACCACTTAACCTCTGTCTTGATTTTTTTGATCTTTCCAATAAGGCTAGTGAGCCTCCCTCAGGTTTGCTGGCTGCAACATTATGAGTAACAGCAGTGACAACCCAGGTTGAGATTTTGCTTTGTATCAGGCAGTGCACAAATCGTTTTCACTGCTTTAATTCTGAGAACAACCCCATGAGGTAAATATTATTATTCTAATTTTCGAGATGAGGAAACTGAGGCAAAGAAGTAAATTACTCAAGGTCAC